GGGGATCTGTCTGGTGGAGATGAGGCGGGGTTGTATTAACAAAGGCTTCTCCTTCATAATGAGTTCCATCAACACTTGTAACAAGTCAGGAGTTTGTGATTGTCACACACTGGGGATTTTCTTGAGTGTGATCGTTGAGTGCATTATATTTTAAAAGGGTTCCTTTTGTCTGTCGTAGCCTGAGATGAGGTTGAGTGGAACATTACTTAAACACAAACCTCTTTTATAATTTAAGGAATATGCTTTGAACTACAGGAGCGTGTCATCTGATTGACTTAAAAAAAACCCAAATACTGATCTGATGCTGATATTTATGCCAGACCTTCACTTCATGTTGATATGTTACAGATTGAATTGCCCCTATTATTTGAATTATCTCTTCCAACTGACGCATTATGACTTTATAAATTAATAATACCTGACCTGATAAATCTCAAAATTTCAATCTCTGTTCATAAATGTTGCTCTGAAATTTCTTTTAACTGTAATTCTTTTACGTGAAAGTGATTGGAAAAGTTTCATTCCTGAATTAGATGCAGATTGAGACGGCTGAGATGGGAAGGGAGTTTGTGGGAAATGTTTGATATCAGTGGCATTGTTACATTAATACAGGTGTAATTTTTATTCTTTCTTGTCAGATGTTGCATATATGTGTTTTAATGAAGAAATCCATACCATATGTGAGCTACATTTTTGACACCCAGTGTAGATTTCCTTACGAATGCTTTTGTTTGTGGGACAGTGAAGTTAGCTTCTTACTGATAGGTTCTTTGTTAAGGCTCAGAAAATATAGAATTACAAGCTGAGTTTGCCTTGCCTTTTCAATAGACCTCTTATTTCAGTCTATGACGTATTTGATTTGTCTGTTCAACCTAAACGGTCTCAAATCTTTGAAAATCCAGCACTTGGCTGTTTATGTAGGATTTTGATAGTATTGTGACTTCTTGGCCTGGATACTATTACAAAGAATGTTCAACTGGTTACTTCAGTGGTGGTTTATGGAAAAATTCAGGAAGCATCCTTTTAGAAAAGTGCACAGGAATATCTAGGACTGAAGAAAACTTTATTTATTGTAGAGACAAGAAGCATAGTTTTCACAGAATGTCTGAAGCTGCAGTTGAAATCTTGCGTATGGCTAAAAACGAGGGGTGAAAGTTGAGGGCAGTTTTTCAATAGGAAGCCTTCAGGGCAGATACTTCATGGAGTGTGTGAGAAGGGTCAGGAGCAAAGCGCTTCAAGTAAAATTGGTATGTGCGTGCTTAGGATTAGATTGAGGTTGTGATTTTTCATCTAGAATCTGTAATTTGTAACAGAATTAACCCCGTATGTAACATACAGGGAAAGCTGAATGTGTCTTTTTAAGCATGCTTACAAAGTGTTTTCCAGTCAACAAGGAAATTGAGCAGGTATTTTCCCTCATAAATAAAACATGATTCTGGTAAATATTTGTGGACATTTGTCAATTTGATGTTGATTTTGTTTTGTTCTGAATGTCGCTTTGGTTCAGTCTCACTGATTTGTAAAGTCCCATTTCAACATGTAAATTAGGCATATAATTGTAGTTTACTGAATTGTCGCGTAAAAAATTGTACCAAAAAGGTGACTGATAAAATTTAAGAAACTATTTATTCTGTTGAATAAACTATTCAATGCAATTCTTTCTGTGCTGTCAATCAGTGCAAATGTGCATTTACTGTTAATCGTAGTGTGTTGGCCATTGGAATTTGGAGAAATTGTAGCGTAGTACTAAAAAAAAATCAGCTTTTATTTTGCATTAAGCAGTAATGTGACATATAGTAGTATTTTGCATTAAGCAGTAATGTGACATATAGTAGTATTTGCTTATATTTTTCTTTTGGTGTCTTTATTCCCCAGGTATGGGTGCCTTTTTATTTGAAACATTTTAAACTGTTTTTCTTATTTTGTGTATAATGAACAAATCGGGCAATGGTATAAAAAAAAACACCAATATGGATGCTTTCTATTATGTTAACATTTGGATAAAATAGCCCCTTTAAGCCTTCTTGTAATTTCATAACAGAAGTTTTAATTCAGCAGTCATTTCTCTTTGATGGAGGAATGAGAAACCATTAGGAATTAAGACATTTTCAAATTTGTGAGGATAAAATATACGCAGAGCTATCACAAGATGAACTTCTTGTTAAGGAAAGAATTTATTGGATGTGGATTACGTTTCTACAAAAGCCCATACTTATTGTAGCTAGAGTTAATTCTTTGACAGTGAACAAGTGTGGAGGTACAGTTACACTAGAATTGACCACTGTATGACTTTAGGATGGATTCATGTGCTGAAGTTAGTGTATACAGTATAATCAAATCTGTAAATTGTATACAGAAAGCTTAATTGTGCTTTTGTTACGGAAAAATAAAAAATGTATAAAGAAATTGTTCCTTGTATTGTGCTTTTCATGTTGTTTGAACTAGAATGTGGTCTCTTAAAATTGAGCAATTGTATTATTATAAACTATAATTGAACAGTGAGCAAACTAAATGGCTACTATCCAGCTTTGCCAAGATGGAAGTGATTTCGAGAGGGTAGGAGACTGCATGAATATTACAATGCAAGAATAGTTGATGGCCCGTAAGGTGTTGCTTTGCTTGGCTTTCTCACCACGAAGGCCATGTGGTTTTTCTCACTTCAAGGCATTTTGCGGATTCATGCATTTGAATGAAAAGTAATGCCCTTGTTCATATTTCTGTAAAAAAAGGGAAGTTTCTGAAGAGCAATAGTCAAATAAAGCACTAAAAATAAAATATCGGTTAGAAGAATTTCAATTTCCCAGTGCCAGCATGTATGACAAAACATGGAACCGGAGATTAGTGCATTCCCTACAAATATCTGCAAAGAAGGTTCGAACAGAAAAAACTGTCTTATGAATGTCTTTTAACATAACAGTCTAAAGAAAATATGAGTAGTAAATTACATGCTGAAATACTCTTGGAACTTTATTAAATCTAGCCTTTTATAACATCTGGAAAATTTCAAAATAATTACAACGGTATACAAATGCACATTCTTACAAAGTGAATAGATATATCTAATAGATACAAATGAAAGAACCAGCAGTGTTCCAACAGCCAGTTGATAGGACAGTGACATTATTTACAATCTACTTGATTTTGAAAAGTGAATAATTACGTCCTACTTTTAGCTTTAAGATCTAAACAAGTAGGACTACGAGCTGTCTCCTTGGTATTGTGACCTTAGAATGATCTTGCTATTTTGGATAAAGTCACAGGTCGCATTAAATCTTTCCACGATCAACAGCATTGCAGAGCAATGGGAGACCTTGAGATGCTTGGTGGCAGCAGACAAACGGGTCCTTTTTCACAGTTGTGCACATGCTCAGAACTACTTCACATGCCTAGAACTATGCATGCGTGCTCAGAGCTGGCAAAAAGGACTGGTTTGCCCGCTGCCCCTAAGGGTCTCAAAACCTCCCAATGTGAAATAGTAGCATTCTAGCACTCCAAAGCAAAACGACTACAAGAACAGCTAGGCTTCTTCATTAGTCTCTAACATGTCTTCTTGGATCACTTCCTCCTGCATTTCCATGGTGCATTCGGGTTGGCCTGAAGACTGGACCAACAGAAGGCAGAACAGAGGAAACCCTCGATGGGGGCCACTGTTGGACCCACCAGTGTGTGGGCCACACGATGCAGACTGAAAGTGAACTGATGCTTGGCGTAGGGCTGGAAGCAAGGCTCACCACAGACGCACCACTTGACTTGGCTTAGGTGATGATACAGGTGACGGGGTAGGTCTTCCTCTGTGTAAGCAATTCTGAGGGAAAGGGGGGAAACTGTTAAGTGGGTTTACTTCATATTTGGAGTAAATGTCCAGTGTCAAAGAAGTTGAAGAGGAGAGTACCTTTGTTTCTTGATAGCCCGAGCAGCCACCTCTAATAGACTAGGAAAGCCTTCCTGAGTTCTTCCAAAGTGAGCGGCACTGCCCTCCAGCATCTGAGACTGGAAGCAGTTCCCAGTTAAGTCGACTTCCTCCAAGGCCAGGTCCATGAATGAGAATGGCAGAACCTCAATCTGGTTCCCTGCCACGCTGAAGAACCTCAGTCGGCCCAGCTGCCCGAAATGGTCCGGCAGGGCCGTAAGTTGATTGTTGGCAATGTTCAGGCGGAGAAGAGAAGCCAGTTCACAGATCTGTGGGGGCAAGAACTTCAGGGAGTTCTCTGACAAGTCCAGGGAATGGAGCGAGGTCCTCAGACTGCTCAGGCAGAGGGGCGGGGGAAGTCTCTCCAGGAGGTTATTGGCCACCTTCAGTTCAGCAAGAACAGAGAGCTGGCCAGGATTGTTGGGCAAAGCCCGGATACGATTACTGCTGAGATCTAGAGCACGCAGGCTCTTCATTTCCAGGATTCGACAGTCTACTCGGGACAGCCCGCATCCATTGACCTGCAGTGACTCCAAACCCTTAGGAAATCTCTGTGAGATGGGATAGTCCGATCTTTTCAGGATAACCATTTTTGTCTTAGGTCGCTCCACCTGCGCGGTTGTTGCAGGGGTCAGGGTTGAAAGGTGAACCTTACTGAGACCACTGCTTTGACCTTTGTAGCTAAGTTTCAGTACAGACAGGAAATTCTTCAACTGTAGTGGATCCGCCTGGGAAAAAAATATAAGAATTGGAGACTGAAGAAACGGATAAGAACAATCAGTGTTTGAGAAACAGATTGGATGCCTACGACTAAACACAATCTGTGATCTTTGTTACGTAATTCTGATTGGTTTCATGTTGCTCAGAGATACTGTCCATGGTGTACATAAGACATGACAACTTAAATTACTGAATAAACCTTTAAAATCATACTTTTGAACAATTAATTTGTTTTGTAAGGGTTCTCCTTGAAAATTTAAGGAAGAAAAACTAAATTGGAAAATCTGGACTAAAACGTACTGAGGCTAGCCAAGACTTGGGTTGCCAGGTCAGAGTTTTGATTTAGTCCTATCTTTGTGACGACCTGTGCGGAATTCATGATGTAGCCAAGCATGCTATTTTGCTAAACATGGTAAATATTTGACGAACAAAAGGAGACCACCAAACCAAGTATTGCATATTTGATTACGACTTCTGTTGGGGTTTTTTGGGTGCTAATGTCGCTGAGATAACCGACAAAAATTATTTTGCTTTCTGTAGTGACTTCAAGTACGGTATTGATCTTGTAAATATATACAGTCGAACCTTGCTAATAAGAGACTTTGCAAATTGCCTTGTTATAACAGGAAACCTGTATTATCAGGAATGAAAACAATGAAATATTGGATTGAGACCTAAAAGTCCTTGCTACAAGCACAATCTTGTATTAACAGTGCTCTTATTTATGAGGTTTGATTGTACCTTGCTGATGCACATATCTTGGGCTGGTTCCTTCAAACGTAGCGTCACTTTACCTTCCTCAACAAATCTGGTGAAAACTTGTTCTACATTGTCCTTCAACTGCATCGGTGATTAAATGCAATGTGAGCAAGTAATTGTAAAGACACATTGGGTTTAAAAGGAAAACAATGTCATGTTTGATGAGTCAAGTGAATCTGATGATTTGGATGGAGGGGAACCAAAGCTTTGCTGGCAAAATATTCACTGCCTAATCTTTGTAACAAGGAGACTTTTCAGTGTTGATAGTTAAATGGCAAAAAAAGTTGTTTGAGTTTTGTGTCTTAGTTTTTGGCATGTGTGAGAAGTCGGACTTTGAATCTTATCTCCATGTAGCAATACATCAAACAATGCTTGCCTTCAGTCAGGAGTTCTTGGTGTTAATATGCTTGTTTATCCACAGGTCTTAGTTGTCTGCTGACATTGGCACTAACTTCTAACACGCCAGCAAATAAGGATTTACATATTCCTAAATCATTTCTGATTCTCTTATCTTCACTGCACACATATGCCTTCAGTAAGGAGGACTTTGCTCTCCAACTCTCATGTAAGGGACCGGGTCATGAATTTTAGACACTAACTATATGCGGGAACTTCCCATTTGCATCAATTTCAGTTAAAATCACAGTTTCCGTCAGAGTTTAGTCAGCTTATAAAAGTTACCTTTAGTTCTACACAGGGTGTTGTTTGGATTTTTCAAACTTTTAGGCAATAATGACGTGTATACGCTGATTAAAATTCTTTGTAACTGAGGAGGGGGGCAATATTCAGTTTTTATTTACTTTTTACTTTATCAATTTTTTTTAAGATTTCAGTTGGATTTTCTTTTGCTGTCTACAGTAAAGCAACTTCAATAGACCTGATTGATTTAAGACTTGCATTTATAGCTACATATGTTAAGGGAAACATAACGATTGAAAATATGTTCCAAACTTGTTTCCCCAAAAAGGGGAACACTAAAATTAAAAGGGTGAGATGTGAACATTTTTCTTTTTCTTACCAACTCTTAAACCCAGGAATCTGATAAGCTTACCTTGTACTTTGTTCCGGTTTTGTCCTTGGCAGAACACAGCATCAGGAAAACAGCACCCTCTGGCTTGCTACTGCTGCCACCGCGCCGACCAATCGCCAAAGAGCACCTCATTGGTCGGCCCTTGGCTTTCATACCATGTGAGGGCAACAGACGATTCTTGACATCCACATCACAAGAAAGACGCATGGTGCTTGGTGGTATATCAAAACCTACCTTAAAAATGTGGAGAAACAGGTCATTCCTCCTGCAAAAACTGTGGAAGAGATGTAAAATACTAACATTCAAAATGTTGAAGGTATGTGAATGAAACATTAAAAAAGAACAGAACCAAGACCCCATTGACTGCCTGAAAATGATTTTGCTAGAAAAAACTAATGATTAAATTAAACAAACTAACCCCCAGGGTGTATGAAAAATTGTATTAAACCAAAAGGCCTGTACATGTACTTGTTTGCCCTCTATAGAAAGGGCAAATGCATGGCCAAACAGATCGGTAGTTAGCCACACAAGTGCCTGATCATGGTTTAATCTTTGGGCCTGATCAGCTGGTCAAACTTATACACGTGCATTTCTTTTCATCATCATCCTATCCTTTCAGTTTCTTATTCTAAATTGAGCCCCAAGTCATGTCCTGTGCTGAAGTCAATCTTTGGGATTGTTGGTAAGCCGCAAAAAGATGCGCAGCTGTGTCATGTTGTGCACTACACTAACTGAAAATTATCAGACTAGCCTTAACACTAGTCATGCTAGTCACAGGAATATCAGATTGCACTTTTGTGCTGACCAACAACCTGTCTCACTTTATCCTTCGCATAACAGTAGACCAACTGTTGTGATAAGGACAGCACAAAAGAGCATGTGTCATGCGCTGGCAACCAACAGTTCATGAACATTAGCAAACATGCAGAAAAGAGTGACTGTTTGCATATTTGTGCATATTTGTACTGTTAAACCATAGGCCTAGGCATTGATCAGGTTGGGGACCAAACTACAATCTACCGAAGACGCCAGACTATGCATACACAGCTTGACTGCGCTAGGGCCACGTCAATTCGAATAATTCATTATTCAAATATTTGACCTTCAATTTGATCGAATATCGGAATATTCGGTTGTACCAACCGGCAGACTGTTGCTGAACAAACCATATACAAAATAAGTTGCAATAGCATACACAATTGTACATTATGATCAATATAATAGCTTCTCACATCAAGGAGCATCTCCAGCCATTATTTAGGAAGATTTAAGAGATCATGAACAAGAATTCTTGCCCGGTTGAAAATTTCTATTCCTTTTAAATTGTTTCATGAATAATTTACTTTTTAAATCATTGTAAGATTTCAAATGCTTTTCATTTGAATCTGTTTGAAACAAGCCTCCATAGTGCAATTTTTCTCATTTAAAACAAAACAAAATTTTCCTTTACTTTCATGAATTTTGCATTCAAATTGGAAAAAGGAATATTCGTATATTTGACAATTGATCAAATATTCGGCACAGCCCTAGATTGTGCAACGATGATGTAATTTTTGAGCTATTTTTATATCAGAGTTCGCAGATGACATCGAACTCCTTATTGGCCGAAAACTTCAATACAAATTGCTCTGATTGATCAAATTTACAGAAAACATGCTACACCAAAAATAAAAGAATCTTTCCTTTCATTTAGTATCTTTAAAAGTGGATCGCAGAGATTTTTTGGTCGAATGTTGCACTGGAGGTGTTGAATTTGGTGGGTAGGCGAGTTCAAGTTTGCTTTGCTGAAGTTTACTTTATGCATGAAAGTGCCGCCATTAAAAAATCATCGATTCACCGCAAATTTCATGTTTTACCGTGGCAATTTTCCAAAATAGCGATCAGAAATACTTTTGTCATAATAGGCCATTTTCCAATACTCAATTTCGTCTCTGTCTCTGGCTTCATCTCCAAAACCAATCCCCAATTGTGGGCCTGAAGCATTTAAATTTAAATTGAAGAAATGTAATGTTTGGCTTTTTGCAGAAAAGAGTTCCACACATGATGCCCATTGACATCCTGTGCACAAACCCTATGAGACTGATTTGAAAAATTTTAAGTGGTTTCTAAGTAAACGACTTGGATTTTTCCCTCCTAAATTGAATTTTTTTGGACATGTTTTTGCCTTCTAACGGCTAATAGGTAACTGTAGGGAATAATCACTGGTGTCTATATATGGAGCTCTTCCCTTTTTGCATCTTACCTGATGTTTTGTGGCACTATCAGACTTACTATTGCGCTTACAAGTCAGGCAGTAAAAAAACAGTTGAAGCCTGTGACGGAGCCCAAGTCGAGTATTGGAAAACGGCCACGTCGCTGGAGTGTGGTTTGGTCCCCATCCTGTTGTTGATAGGTATGGTACACATGTACGTATACACAGTAGAGTCCCGTGTCGTGGCACACTTCAGCTTTCACCTGACTTTCCTCTCACAGCAATTGCCAAACCTTTTTGTTGAAAAACTCAAAAGTCATTTGGTAGAGTGGCCCTCATGGTACATGATGTTGAACCTCTGTGAACAATTCCAGTGCTATGAAATTTCGTCTGAAATTCAAAAATGTGGGCGTCCGGCAATTGGGCTCAAATTCAGCTGGGTTTCCCTCATGTCCCTGACACACTTGAAAAAGTCTCAGAAAATCCTACATAAACGTTTCCAAATTCTTAGACTTGATCATTGCTCGTATTAAAAGCTACATTCCTTCCACGCACATTCCAATCCACACGTTTGTAAGAAAATTATTTCCACAGTATTGTGCACATTTTCAAAGTAGGCCTATTCATTTTGCCATTGGAAAAAATCAGAAAATTGGACGAAAACAGAAATTTCATCAGAACTTTGCAGCATATATATACATAACATCGTGATTTATGAATCAGAATATTGATAATTTGAAGAATAATGAAGTTTCATTAACAGTGGATTTGAGGTAAAACTATTGCTCTGGTCATGCCAGTGAGACATGAGAGGGAAAAAATGAAAGTGCGACACGTTAAACCCCCAGAACTGTTGCGTCTGATGTCTGCCCCGCTAGGGGTATAGGTACGACACATTAAGCCTGGTTTCCATATGTTCATTTGTAATGCAGACGGTCTGCAAGACATAGACACTCGTGGAAGAGATGCGGCACAATGCCATTCCACCCAGAAAATTAAAAACGGCACCCGAAACTCAGAAAATTTTCCCCCCAAAAGCATTTTTGTAGGTGGCACTTTTTCCTCTTGAAGCCAAACTGATACTCTAGTTTGATGTAATTTGTTAATGGTCAGCTATTTTGTCGACGATTTGGGCTGCATATGTTAGTAATAAGGAGAAAATGGACAAAACAAGTGGTGCTAAGCGAGTGGAACATTGTTGTACGCCCGTCATGTCATGTTTTGTATACATGTAGGCCTACTCAGCGACTCAACCTCAACGCAGACTGTCAGCAAAGTTGAACTGGGCTCAACTTTGCCGATCCGTCTGGGGCTGGTTTGCATTATCGGCGATACTTCCATTTGACATGTTCCATATGATGTCTGAGTTTTGTCTTGACATGCTTGATTGCATTGCTCTCTGCATTTCTTTACATCGATATGTTAACCAGGCTAAAGTTTAGGGTTTTCGCGCCATGTATGATCAACTAGGCCTAGTACTAGTAGTAGTACTACCGATGGTACTTGTAGTAGTCAGTGGTAGTAGGCTAGGCCTATATCAGTGTACATTAGGCCTAGGTCGGCCCTATATCATATAGTCTACGGACATGACATGCATAATGGAGGCAGGAACAGACTCTGACTACTTTTCCATGGACTAAGCTGACCTAAAACTTCTGTTACCAAACCATGTAGGCGATTACCACAGTGAACGAACAAGGTTGAACACACGTTCAGTGTTAGCTTGAAAAATAGTTGACAAATAGCAGCCAAAAACAACAACAATGTTGGTCGTGCTTGTTGCGCTAGCTCTAACAAGGCAGTCAAATGCACCGCCTAATGAGTAGCCAGTTAGCTTACAACATACGATTTGCAATCTTTACGACGCGACGAATGGGAGCTAGACTTCATCCGCACAATGTATGGTGTTCCATGTCTGCCATCTCGCATCTCTCATTCTATGGGGGACAACAGCAAATGTCCACTCGACTAATGCATATGTATTTTTAATTCAAATGAAATACACCATATTCATAAATAACTCAAAAATTTTCCGTATTCAACAACGCGTAATGCGACCGTNTTATCCGGTTCGTAAGAGACTTCATCACAAAGGCGGACGCACCATGATTTGCAGGCTCCCATTGGACGATTGCTGAAGTTGCGCGTTAACTTCCGGTTCCACGGTTCCAGGTAAACGGCGATCAATGTATGTAACTCTATGTGCAGTACTTACGAATCGGATTAACATTTTGACAATGCCCGCTGAGATTTGATTGGTGCACTGCCATGCCGTAAGCTTACGCCACTGATCTCTATAATAAAATCGAGATCAGTGGCCTACGCTCTGGCACCTGGATTGACTCGTCGCGCGCCCAGCGCCCGAAAAGGGCGCAAGGAAGGGCTGATGGCTTTCCACTGTGATTGGTGTTACGATAATGCTCTAGCGCCCTCTTGTGGTAAGACCTTCGGGTTGATTGACCGGTATGGCGGAGGTCACGTTGTTGCTAACCGTATGCCGCCGAGTGTGGACGAGCATGGAATAAAGCAGTAGCTCATGTATCCTTAAATTGCCTCTTAAAGCTGAAGCCCCTTTATTAAGCTGCAACACCACAACACATAACAATTGGCTACTTTGTGCACAATCGGTACCGACGGTGAGGTTATCACTCCCTGTTTGCGAAACATCATTTCAAGTTCTTAGTTAGCCAATGCTAACGCTTGATCGGGCGGCTTATATGAGAAAAAACACGGCTTTGAAACAATCACGGCAATTCATCTTCTCACTATATGTATCATTAAAACCGCGTCTTTTGGCGATCTTTCTCAAATAAATTATTGGTTATCTTGATCAAGTTTGGATTAATTAATAAAGTGAAGTCAGAATAATTTCAACAATGAGGAAGAAAAAGAAAAATATCGAAATGATAACCGCCACATTGAGCAAGCTCGAGCACGTGGCAGAAATTTACCCACAATGCTCGGCGCGTTATTAGCGTTGACCCCGTGTGACGTATTTCCTTAACTAAAATCTGCGCAAGGCCATCGGCCCTTCCCAGCGCCCTCTTCCGGGCGCTCGGCGATGAGCGAAGCACCCGGAAACAAGACAGTTTAATCCATCCCTTTTACACAATTATGTTCATGCCTGAATCCCACACAGCCAGAAGCTAGTAAAATCATGGCTCTTGACTCAGGCAAGTGGACCCCAAAAGTAATCGATCAACATCAAGCTCAGACGAAATAGTAGTTTGCCCCTTATTTCCATACCGATTAGAATTTTAACAAAGTCCCTTTTGCTAACTTGAACACTATGAAACTTGGACAGGAACAGTGCTCGTTTTTCAAGTACATAAGGAAGTTGCTGTAAAGAGGCTTGCTTCACAGGGCAAGGTATCTGAAGAAATAAACCACGTATCAGATCCACCACAAAACATAACATGTTATTTAGCAGAACTGTTCGATTCCCGATTCACTTTCCCTGGAAAAAAAATGGCCTGCATGATACCATTGAGGGTGCATTCCGTAATGGTTGTATTTCTACGCGCGAGCTCATGAGTATATTTTGTGATCCCACGGGTTCTTACAGTGAGACATGCCATAACCAGGAGGGATCACAGAAACATTTCTGTAAATCCCGACTTTGGGACTGGCAGTTTACAGTTCGGATTATTTCTTTCGCAAAAGCCCTAAATTGCGGGCCTAGTTGGATAGAGGCGGACGGCGACAATCAGAGCTGGGCGAATAGTTTTACTATTTTGGAGGTATCTTAGGATAAAGGCAAATAAAAACAAATCGTGGCTAAAACCCATAACATTGAAAGGAAAAGTGATCTTCTGGCCATAATCTTCAATTTCCGGTGAAAAAAGGAGACAAACCTCCTGCGAGAGTCAACAGGCGGTGCGTTTTCGCTCTTAATTTTTATTGCTTTCTATGGGCGCGTATTATGGTGTAGTGCAACCTGCGAGAGTTCAGGGGTGCACCACTACAAATAAATTCCCATATACAGCAATGATAAACACCCACACTTCACAATTATTTAAATATACTCACAACTCTCACAGGTGTCTAAGCTGCACAGAAAAACGATGATCGATATGTCCCCTTTCGTTTTCCTTTCAATTTTCGGGGGGGTTGACCAATGGATTTTTGAGAAATTTTCACCAGAAGCAGACTACCCCTAAAAAGAAGAAAATGTCCCTGCCCAGAAAAGCGGCCATTTGGAAAAACCATCCCTCTGAAAAATGGCCAAATAGTGCCACTTTCGGACCCGACTGCACCCAAATTGCTCATAATTGCAAGACCAAAGTCCGGGCTGGAGGTTCAGTGCCACATTTCTCCAATTCCTCGATTTCACGGCTCTGAGGACTCTCTACTATAGAATATTTTGAGTTTGTAACTTTTACTAATGACCTTGGCGGACAAATTTTGGCCTTGTTTGCAAGGGTGCACCCTCAGACGTGTCCGGACGTACGTGTAGTCCGGGAACTCTCTCATATTGATGCGCGCATTTAATTTACCAAGGAGAAGCTGTCAGGGAGATTTGTGCGCGGCCCCCTTGTGCATTTTGCTACATCATGCACTATTGTAGCGTTGTAATCACTCAGTCTTTGCAGAGCAAAATTCTGTGCGGTATTACTTGGTTAATGGTTTTGTTATCTACGTAAATATGAACGGCCAA